ACTCTACTCACGAGTGTGGCCTCGGACGAATTGCATCGAGCTTTGTTAAAATAATCAAATTGTATTTATGAAGGAAATTCACGAATAATTAAGGTAAAAGATACTCAGTTGCTAGCTTGAAAGCGGCACTGACATTTCGACGGTTTCTTCAGTTATCGCTACAATAACCAATTGGACAGACATTAAAGTAAAAGTAAAGTGTTCGTATATAAGCGTTCCATCACCTAAAAACTAATTTGTATTTCTGCATTCCACACACTATAATAGCATTTTTTGCGTTTATCTTTTTGATTTTTTCAACGCTCTAAATATCGGGTTGCGCTACAGTCGGTGGTTTAAAGTGCTACATATATAAAACGGGATGTAGTAAGTGTTGTTAGTGGTGCGGCTTACCAAAATGAAATCGATGGCTATAGTAATGCCTATCAATCTAACGATGGTGAAATCGATTAATCTAGGTATCGAAAACAAGAAGTAGAGCTTGACCTGTCTACGGCCCCCATCGCCTGACAGTACTTACTGTGATCAGGGTGCACCCACTAAGTAATTATTGTTGTCGAAGAGGACCAACTAAGACTAAACAATGGTACCAGCACAGAGCTACTTCATTTTTTATGCCAGAATTTGAAGTGTGTTAAAGCAGTCTTTAACCAGTTTGGATTACATCATCCTGTTTGAGAGTGCCCGGCTGGCTGCTTGGCTATCTGAAAATATAACTGGGAAGGCGCCCCTCAAACCTTTTTCTAGGTTTAATTTGACGCAGGCTAGAACTAGGCTAGGCAAAAATTTCAGCCTGGAAAACCACTTGTTGTTAAAGTAGCAAAATTGTATAAAAAAATATTTTAATAATCGTCTGTAGCGCTCCTCTCTAGCGACCAATTTTTCTCACACACTTGCTGTCGAACAGTCCCCCATTTCATTACATACAAAAGCAATGATTGATTTTTTGTTGAAATTGTGCTTCGACGGCACTGTTTCATTGATTTTGTGTTTTGCTCCATAATCTACCTGTTATTATCAAACAAAATATTTTCTTTACAATGGCTTTCGTTGCCAAAACAGTGTAGCTTTTTTTTGTGAAATTTGTTGCTTTTCGTTGATTTATGACATTTTAATGTGTCTGTCAAGTGTTTTAAAGTGTGTGCATAAATACAGTTAAGTATACGCAGTTACAATAACGTGTATTGTATGTACACAATAGCTACTCCACTTGATGTTGAATATATTTCTATGAATTCGGTTTATTATGAATTATGATTTGAAAAAAGTTTACCTTTTGCCTGCTATGTACATACATATACCTACAGCTGTATATGTACGTGTGAAATGCACCTATCGCAAAATAAAAACTTACAAAATTTAGAAATGCGGTGTGTTTTCGTATAGCGGAAAGGGAAAGGCGGCTAGATATTGAAATAAAGGGTAAAAGTAGAAGCAGCCTGCGGGAGAAGCTTTTTAAAGCTTTCTGAGAATTTAATTTCAGCGTGATTGGAGCAAAAAATTTCTCTAGTCACCGTTGATTCGGATTAAGAATNCGCGGAAAGGGAAAGGTGGCTAGATATTGAAATAAAGGGTAAAAGTAGAAGCAGCCTGCGGGAGAAGCTTTTTAAAGCTTTCTGAGAATTTAATTTCAGAGTGATTGGAGCAAAAAATTTCTCTAGTCACCGTTGATTCGGATTAAGAATAGGCAGATAAAGCTTTTACCCTGTGCGCATCTATATCGATGATGGGCACCGCCTTGTCCGCGGGCAAAGCTTTTTAAAGTTTTCTTAATATTTTGTATAGGCGCGTGCTGACTTAAAGCTCTCTCCGCTCATCGCTGGTCTATATATAACAGTGACGTTTAGAGAGAGTATCCTGTGCACATCCATAAAAAATTTATAATAGATTTGTGTGACAACATCAAACTACAAATCGGAGGAGCTCAGATGTATATATACATATATGTATAGATTTTATGTCATCACGGCCAATATATGTATAACCAGGTTGAGAAGCTTTTTGAACATTACTATGTGGGGGGCACATAGTAAAAGACCTCTCCCTCGTCTCTCATCTAGATGAAAATTAAAGGCTATTTTGTTTGTCCGTGAAAGATAGACTTACGTTGTTCTTTCAAATGATCACAGATATATATAATCACCTAACGAATTCTCCAGATATAAGCAATTTTTATGATTAACTCTTTATCGTTAAACAAAACCATTAACCACAAAAAAAATTAATTCAAGCAAGTAGTTCCTTCATAGCCAATTTCACAAAAGAAATTTAAAAATATATTTTTTTATTTGAATTTAATATGAAAACTGACAGAAAGGATAAAATCATTTTTCACTTAAATTGCGCGTAAATCTCTTAAGAATTTACCTATCTTTCAATAAAAGAAAATTTAGATCTCTTGAGTAGCAAATGTCATGTTTGCACCATTGCGACGATGCGGCGGTCGATGCTTAAAATGACTGGGAGATGACCGTTCGTCTGGTGGTGGAGTTTATAAGGTTTACGCTCGCTATGGCTACAGTCAGGCGAGCTGCTTCTGTTAGACGTTGGTGAGCTCCAGTAATGTGTTCACTGAGACGACAGTCATATCTTGGTACTCGTTGAAGGGGTCATTGCGATCGAGGCAAGGAGTGACTCTGCTGTACTCTACTGAGTGGTGTACAATGTAGACGATGCCCCAACCCCACGTTGCACTGCTGCTTTGTTTCTGTCCAGTATTACTGCGCCTTTGTAGCGTACTGGCCGAAACAAAGTTTTCTTTTGTTTTTCGCTTCCTTCTACCCTTATTTCCTTCACTCCAACCGATAGGAGCGAACTTGCGTATAACTAATTTCGCTACTAAAAGCTCAGCTTGAAGAGCAAAGCAGTTGATTGTCGGTGGCGAGCTTATACAATGGGGAAAAGTCTCCATTAGGGGTGTTCGCGCCAAAACGATCCCCACCAATGGTAAGAAAGATAGGAGCATAATAGGGGCGCCGCCTTTTTCTCTTATCACGACACTTGTTGTCCGCCGTGAGATGGCAATGGGAAAGTAGATGGTGTGTGTTCGTGTGCCCCGTGGTGGCGACTGCTCTAGCACCCAATTCGTTTTTATAATTAGCGGGCCAGCGCCAATCGATCGGGCACCAACCACACCGCCACTGAAGCCCGATGGATTTGCGGACCGGCGCGTATGTTGCGGCTCAACTTGTAGCTGCGCGCTGGGGCAGAACTAAGTGCGCATTGAAGAGGAAAACGTCCTTATTGTGTGCGAACTTGTTTTTGAAGTGATTTGCTATTTATAAAAAAGTGATTTCGTAGCAGTCGCGATAGTATCTCTTTTTAGTTAGATTTGTGAAGTGCCAGGATTGGCATTTAGCCTGGAGATGGAGTCTCAAATCTAGGAGAGGCCCCAGTCGAGGTGACAAAGCAGGGCATAGCACCGACGGGGGGGCACCGCACACCCCGACCAAAGCCTAAGTATTTCCTGTGTTTTTGCCTGTATTGGACTCGTATGTAGATAGATAACGAAATGAGGTTTGCACCGCGACCTAGTGGGCTACTGTGCCCTCCACTCTTCACCATACCTAATTCCCTGAGAAAATTTAACAGTACTTTAGGGGATAGGGAGTGAATGTGCCTAAGCTGTGGGCACATTGAGCCTAAACTTCTCTCACGTTTTCTGCAGACTGCATCACATTCGGTGAGGATGTGTAGAGGTGTCTCGCTGATAGAGTCGCAAAACTGACAAAGGTCACTCGACCAAATCCCCAGCTTGTGTAGATGCCCCTCAGCCTGCAGTGTCCTGTGAGGATGACTGTTATTATTCTAAGCTGCCCTTTTGGGAGGCCAATTAAACTTTGGAATATTCTTACGTTATAACCTCCCAGTAAACTCTTTGCCTGACGCATTCCTGACGAACTTTGCCGGTTTTGATCCCTCAAAGTGATCCTCTCTATCCTAAGCTCCTCTTTTAGAGTGTTGGGGCCCACTCCTAGGAAGGCTCTTATGTTGTCGGTAGTTTTTTCCAATTGTGCTCCTTATCCCGCCCTTTTAGCATTCCGCGCCCAGAGCCCAGTAACTTGGCGGGTTAAAGTTACCACCGGTAGGTTGGTAGGTATTGCGAGTGGTTTTGTAACCTTTTTTGCTTGCTTCGGTGCGCTCCAAAAATAAGTTTTTATTTTTATTTTAAACTTTTGTTTTATATTTTTTTTTTGTTTTGTGTAGTAATCTCCCGTCTCCACTGTGTCAGTCGGTTGCTAATTCTTTTTGTCACTTCCTTTTTGTGCGTATACTACATTTGTTTATTGGTTGGCCGCTTTGTATTGTTGTTGTTGGGCACTGCAAGTGCATTTGGTACATTCGGTTTTTAGGCCACTTTTATTACAAAAACTAAGGTGACGACTTAACTTTTATTAGTTTTGTTTTTCAAAAAAAAATCTCTTATTTTGCCATTTTTTTTTTTAAACTTCCTAAATCAAAGAAAAGACTTCAGATATTTCATTTACGTTAGTTATTTTTGCGGCTCCGCATCATTATCTTGAATTTGTGCTTTGTAACAATTTGATAAATTAAAAAAAAATTATTTTCCTTAGTTTTTTAATAAAAATTATAAACTTTATTATTACAAATTTTAATAAAATACAATTGCAATTTAATCAATTGTATGATTGTATTCATGCCTACATAAATGCTTCTTATTTGCTCTAATACATACATATTAATATAAATGTTTGCATTGAATTTGCGCGAAACTTTATAAAAAAAAATGAAACCAAATTTTAGTAGGATCAGACTAATTTCTGTTTATTATTAATTTACACTTTTTGCTGAAATTTGTTTAAATAACCAATTGAGTTTCAATTAAAATCATAAGTTCATTAAGCTTTTTCACAATTGGTTCATTATCGATAGGCGTTTGCAAATTTTCGTGCGAATTGACTTATTATCGCGAAAAAGACGCTAAAGGTTATATTTTCACTATTTTTGTTCAATTTGGCATATTTTTATTTTTATTTTTAGTAACGGTAATAAATATCCTCACTTCCTCAAAAAATTGTATAATGTATAAAACAGACTGTTTTGGGCGGTTTAAATATACTGGAATACAATGAATATGACTTCAAATCCGGTGGCATACATAGTTTCCGTTAGTTGTCACAAATCCCTCCTTGGTCGCATCAAATTTTGCCATTACCGAATTCTTCAATTTTCAACAGCTCGCAGGTATATTTGAATAGTTTCTCACATTTAGCTGGATTCTTAGCATCTGGATGCATGTGTCCCAGTCCACCATTGTTCAAATAGGTGCCACCTTTGCCCTCCACTTTAGGGTCGATGGCAGCAAACACAACAGTGCGTGAACCTTGCTCGGGAGTTTTGAAAAGCAATTTTTTCATGAATGGCACATAAGTGGTGGCGCTGTGCTCAAACAGATCAGTATCCACAATGCCTGGATGCACGGCATTCACCTGCACATGCGCCGATTGTGCGTCCAAGATGGTTTGCTGATGGCGTGTGGCAAGAATTTGTGCCAATTTCGACTGACTATACGCAGTGCCGGGGTAATAGTGTTTGCTGTGAATGAAAATACATTATTATTAAAAAAAAAAAACTATTTCATTTAGCAAGCTTAATATGCTTACAGTCCATTGATGTCATTGTAATTGATGCGGCCGATCAAATTCACACACGATGAGATGTTAACGATGCGCGCATTCTTGCCCTCTTTGCCAGCAGCCTTCAGCTCGGGCAAAAGGAGATGCGTGAGTAGAAAATGGCCCAAGTAGTTGGTGGCAAAATGAGACTCATTTCCATCGGCGGTCAATTTGAAGGGCGCAAACATAATGCCAGCTGTAGAAGGCGTTACATTTTAGTATTCTAGCGCTGCTAAATTAAAAAAACAAAAATTCCAACTTACCATTGTTGATTAGCAAATCCACTTTGTTATAGCGCGCCTTAACTTTTTCTGCAAACGCTTGGACGGACTTCAAATCGCCAATATCAAGCGTCTCGCATATGAGCTTGCCATCAGTGCTTGTAAGATCGACAATGGACCTGACCGCGGCTTCGGCGCTGACGGGATCACGTACACCTGCAAGTATAAGCGAATAGTGAGTGAGTAGTCAAGCGAAATTGAAGTATGAGCAGTCACTGCCAAAATGTAGGCAACGCTTTGCCAGAGCTATGCGTGTAAAGCAAAGTGAATACTAGGCAGTAAAGTGTAGCATTCTTTTAGGCATAACTTGTAGAGAGATGCGCTAGCGGTTGAAGTGGACTAGTGACGAGCTTTTTTTTTTGTGATTTCGCTGCGTAGGGAAAAATCTTATTCATAGCTACTTTTGTGAAACTATTTATTTTTATGCAAACTAAGTTTAACAATTTTTTGCAACATCGTTGGTGTCGTTGCAGCTCAAACTAATCAGTATGATTCTCATGCTTGAAACAAATTCTACGCTGTCTGTCGTTACTGAATGATGCACAGCTTTTGTGTTGGCATACGAAATAAGCGGCCAGCAGGTTTGAAGACAAGCAAGCTTACAGACATATTTTATATCACATTCAATATTCGCAGCACGCGCAAGTTGAATATTAATTGAAATCTTTAGATATTGATTTACATTAGGGTGGTTAAATTTCTGTTACCTGAAGAAAAATTCTATATATTGTTTTAAGAAATTAAAATCTGAAGACCAAATATCAGTAATGAAATGCATTAATGCTCAGGAAACTTGAAGCATGCTTAGAAGATTGAAAATAGGACATTTGCTCATCTTGCTCTGTATGAGGATAAAATTGTTTGCTCAACATTTTTCATTCCAGTCGAAAACTTACCCATTATTACAGTTATATCACAAGCCAACAGTTTCTCTACTGTTCGTAGGCCAATGCCACGATTGCCACCAGTTATTACGGCTACACGTCCAGGTTGCTTATAAAGTGCTGAAGAGAAGAGAAATATCTATGTATTCTATATATTATACATATAAAATTAAAAGCAAAATAGTGGCGCACTAATTGAAGTAATTAAAATTTTTATGTTCATTAAAAGTGACTACTAAAATTTTAGTTGTAATAACAATGTATTTTTCTTTTTTATTAATTATCACAATTAACTTAAATCGACCTTCTACAAATATACATATTTATGCTTGTACTCACCGACACGATCGCGTGATCGATATGTGAAATCGTTATACAAGCCCACTAGGCCAATATATTGATAGCGCAGCTCTGTTTTGAATTCATACCAACTTTTTGGCATCTCCTTCGACGTTTTGGCAAAATAAAAGCCGCAGAATATAAATAGAGCAAAAAGCGCAATAAATAGGGTTAACATTGTGGACGGCTGTGTTTATTTGGCGACGAAAAAAATGCAAAAGCTGTAAAGAGAAGAAATATTAAATTTAGTTTTCTATATATTCTATTTTCTTAGATTAATAAAATAACATAAAAGCATAAAAAAGTGCGATAAGTGCAAGACTAAGTAGTTTGTAGCGATTGCTTGGCCTGATAAGCACAGCTACATGATGACGTGGTGGCGCAGAGTTCAATTGTGGTTGACTCAATATATATGTGTGGTGCTTCTCAATATATTTATTTATGTATTGCATAACACAAAAGATCTTAACGATAATGGCGCCGTAATGGGACATTCATTTATGAAATTACACTCTACAAATCAGAGATATGAGCTTTTGTTTATGATTTCTGCCGCCCGGCTTTTCTACTGCAAGTGTGTGCGATTTTATAAATAAAACTAGCGAAAACCCGCCCGTTCCGCTGGTCGTCTTTAAAAAAATCTAGATTAATTAATTAAATTAAGCCGAAAAATACTGTGTGTTTTTTATAAAAATTCTCGCGCATGAATAGTAATGAAAGAAGTTTTGAATAGTAGTAGCAATTAAAAAACGTTTGATGTGATTTACTTTATTACTTTTTTTATTGTAATGCTCTTTGGTATACAATATTCTTCGTTTTTCCATGCGTTGTTGAATAAATGAACAATACCGATGGCTTACCAACTCTTGAGCATGAAACATAAAGTTGGCCATGAGAAAAACATGGGTATTCTAAATCAATACCACAAATTGATAAAGTTTGGCCTTGTGACTTATTGATAGTAATCGCGAATGCAAGGCGAACANGCTTCACAGAAACCTTTGCCAAAGCAACACCAACAACGTGTGAAACTTTCATTGTGTTCCTTACACGCGTTGCTGAGATTACCACGGACAACGGCACACTTTTTTTCGGCTTAATTTTTATATATATAGATTTAATTGAATATCACGAAGGGTATACCATTTTTTAGAGATTAATATGCTCTAGAACACTTCCTACTTTTGGTAGACTGGTTTTAATATAAAAAAAAATTTGCATAATGAAACTGTTTTGTTCTCTAAAACACGTGGTGATTAGAAAAAATATGAAAATTATAAACAAAAAATAAACCCGTTCTTTGCTATGCTTAAAGCATAACAGGCAAAATAATAGTAAGCATGAATTACTATGTATAGTATAAGCAGATTAATTTTAGTACGCAGAATAACAGTTGTTCTGGTATGCGCAGCAAGTGTAGGTTTCTGGTCCAGGGTTTGACTCGACGCCTGCCCTGAGCAAAAGAGTCCGAAGCAGAAGTTGCCTCATGAACAGCGTTAACGAGATTTCGCCCATCTAAACAGGGTTAGATCGTCGAAAACACAACCCTTTGGACGGATAAACCCCAGTAATTCCAGTATGTAGAATTTTCCCAAAGAGGTTTTGAGCGATGTCCTTTCTATGAGTTACATGGTGTACCGTGCCGGAGAAGGTAGGAAATCTCGAGCGCTGCTGATCAAAACCGTCTATCATCCAAGCTGTTACGAAGTGTAATGCGGTGGCGATGCATTTTCCGAGACACGACTTGATGCGAGGCTAATTGCAGGTGTATAAGGTGCAGGGAAGACTAAGATTCGTGTGGCTCTGCAAAGTGAAAGAGTAGAAAGAGTAGAGTACTTAATAGGCCTTAGAAGTATCCTCGTTCGGCACACTACCTAAACTTTTTGTTTAGTTTGATTTGCCTGGTGCTGTGTTTCCATTGGAATTATAAAATCTATTATATTTTAAGATTTGCAGTTGGGTTTTTTTAGGAATAAAAACAGTTTCTTGAGGAATTAAAATAAAATCCATCGGATGACAAAACAATTTAAGCTTAAAAAATCTGCATAAAAAAATTTCAACGGAATCGTATAAAGAAATTTTTGATGCTGTTTTTTTAACTTTTTTCAAAGATTGGTATAAGAAAAACTTGAATAATCGGATCAAAACTGTTCCGATTTAGACTTTTTATTTTTTGCAAATATACTCATTCAAAGTATTAAAGAGAAAGGTAAGATGAACGAGTGTTATTTCAAGTTGAATTTAAATGTGCCGGTATTTGAGAAAAAAAATTTGGGACGTGAATGAGTTTGTTTTGCAAGGAAATAAAAATAATGTTAATAACAGTTCAATTTTTCGGTTACAAAATGTGCGGCAACGTTCAGAATAGGCCTGTTAATATATGTTGTAGCGTGGAAGAAAGCTAAAAATGGTAAATTGACATTTTATTTACGAATATGAGTACATATTGAGAGGTCTTATATTCAATACCCTCTATACGCAAATTTTCATAAATTCCGTTTCCAACTATTATTTACTATTTTTTCGCTAACTAAATATTAACAAATATGTTACTTAGACTAGAGTATTCGTAAATGTAGTGAAGTAGACGCAGAAAGCATTTTAAATAGTTATTTAGCATTATTTGCCAACTATGTAAACAAATCTATGTAAATTAATATTTTACTTGGTGTAACCACAACGTTTTAAGATCTGGATACTCCGTTATACATATATATGTACATATGCACTTGTTACCTACTTATTTACACAACCATTTGTATCGAGTATTTACGTCGTCGCTAGCAAAGAAAGGTGCGTCTCAAATTGAGTGGTAAAAGTTTGAAAACATTACAGTTACATTGGACATTGTCAAGCATTGACATGTTTAAGTATTTACATACTTGCGTTAGTACTGGTGCTCACTTAAGTTTAGCTTTTTTCTCAAAANTACTACCGCTAAAACGTGAACACAAATAAAATAAAGCTATCGCTTGGTTTTACACATGAGAGTGGCTTTTAGACGTGGCTACGATCGTTTTACAAACAATGTCTCCATGTGTATAAATGGACTAAAGAAGGCGTGTGACGGCATTTAAATAGTTAGCCTCTTCATAATGTTTAGATTCGAGAAAGAGTCTAATACTTAGGACCAACTTACTTTTTAGGGTAGTAAGGTGACAACGATTTTCAGAGAAATTAGTTTTTAAAACCCCTCCTGCCTTGACTAAATAATTCTCTAGCGCGATGTGAGAGAGTGTTAGTCGAATGTTGTATGTACGGAAGTTGTTTTTGTCAGTTCCTTTAGCGCTATCTGGTATAAAACCGCAGACAACGGATGCCACAGTGTAATAGCTCTCACTAAAGCATTAAACAAAAGGAAATTAACCGAACAGGTTTATTAATAACCCACACACTTGGTTGGAATTACATTACATAATTAAAAATTTGTTACAAGGGCCTTAATTGGCTCTGATGTGTGGGTATAAATATATAAAACTACTTAAGTTGTTTAAAACATACAGATTTAAATACATACACACATAAATATGTATGTATGTGCGCACACATTACGAACGTGTAAATTACTGGGTTAAGAGTCAAGTTGTATTGACCTTAAACAAGTTTCGCTGCATCAGTGCAGTGAAAAAGCTACAACAACGGTCAACACATCGGGAAACTTGCCTGTAACTACCATGTACTACTGAGGTTTTTATGTCAAAAACTGGATTAAGAAAATAATTAGCTGACCCTTTTGGGTGTCGCAGAAATAATAAAGCACTAGATTTAATGTTTAAACTTTGCTTAACTTGTAAATAATTTTAGCACTCGCTGTAATGTTGGCTGACGACAAAAATGGAAAGCACGCACCCACCCCGTCGGAACCGGTCATGTATAGTCATATACCTAGAAATGTATGGCCTTAGGCCATTCCAGAATGCATCTTTTTCACGCCAGGGTAGCGCAAAAAAGAATGTTTCAAAGGGCATTACATGATCAGTTCGCTGTCTTCGGGATGTTGGTAAGCATGTGTCCATGATCTTATACGTTGGAAGCTCCAAGCGAGAGCGCAAACATGATCCATTTACTGTCATTGGGATGCACGAGTCCGATTTCTTATTAGTTAGCAGCTAAAAAACGGACAGCTTAAATAAAGCCAAAGCTTTTACGTCAGCATGCATCTTTGTATACATCCTAAAAGACATACATGATGAAATTTCCGACTGGGTACATATGAACATACATTCCCAATAAACATTAGGCTTCGTTAACAATTCGAAAATGTTTGGAAAACTAATATTTTTTCAAGTATTCGCTTCGAGAACTAGGCCATTCTCCAGAAAAACGGAACCTTCGTTACCCAATATATTTTCCCTTCGTTATGAATTCGAGATCCAGTCCATTATCGAATTGAAATTTTAATGAGAGAGGGTGATTTTCTTATATTTCCCTTCGAGAATGAGCTGGACTTCACTTTATCTCTTGCTACTATGGTTTTCATTTTATTTCGAACCGCTTTGGAGTGTACTACGGTTGGTTATGAGTCCGTTCTCAGTTCGATGTGCATATTGGATATCCAGTGTCTTTTTCGAACGTTCGCCACAATGTTTATTGGGTTGTATATATGTATATATGTATGTATGTATGCATGTATATATGTATGTATGTATGTATGTATTTGTGTGCGTATTAATGCAAAAGTTAATAAGCTAAAGAAGAAATTTAAAATGGAAAACAGGCCAAAATGCACACAAAAAAAAATAACTCTCTCAATTTCCGTGAAGAAAAAAGTGTTTAAAAAAAGCAAATGCAAATTTTGCATTGCAAATATATGGCTGAAAGGGCATACATATGTGAATGAAACTCAGCATATGAATACGTTAACAAAGAAATAAACAATCAGCACACGAATATGGCCAATAAACAAATTAATGCTGACTAGCATTGGCATAGGTATGAGGAACAGTTGTATAAATTGAAAAGGTGTAGCGAAGAAAATGTTTAGAGTTCATTGGCAGCAGGTGAACAAGAACGAAAGAGCGATTTTAGAAATTGGTTAAACAATTGTTAACAGGTTACTGATGACGAAAAGGCAATTGGTTAGCAAATGCGGTTCGGATTACTGCTGACAAAAGAGAAACAAATTTTTTTTTATTGTTTTAAAAATCAGCATTAAGGAAATTTTTTTCTATGTACTTATCGCTCATTTATTTCAATAGTGTCATAATCCAAAAATTACAAATAAAAAGTTAAGCATGCAGAAATTACCGCCACCTTCTCTTCTATGTTGTGTAAATTTCATAGCTGTATCGAAAGCCAATACCTCGCCAGAATAAAATACGTATTAATTTTTACTATTCAAAGCTTTAAATCAATTTAATTAATTTCTTTAAATTATGGGATGTACTTAAGTACATAAAATCTATCACAGCAACAGCCGAAAACAGGGAATATTTATCTACAAACGTCGCTATTTTTTCGTTTTAAATTTACTGCTAAATAAGAATTAGAAGCTACTTAAAGTCATCAAAGCAAACCATCCAAAAACACTTTTGCTTGACATAAATCCGAGCTAATCGCCATGGAATATGATGGCGTGAAGCAATGTTTGAGTGCGTGTGTATAAGCTGATAAGGCGAGCTTCAACGCTCGTAAACCAAAAGAAACTAAAAAAATGTAGGTAGACAGAAATACAAACATACGTACTACTTATTCACACTCGTGGCGGTAAAAACGCTGAATGAGCAGCAATAAACTTTCTTTTTTCCCCCAATTAATACATGAGAGGCCACATATGCACCTGCATATCTAAAGGCACAAACGAATATCCACAGCTATAAATGTGTATGTGGGTTTCAGTGCTGTTCAGTTGGCTTTTAGCGATTTTTCTTGGGTCTTTTAACAACTTTGGCATTCGAAAATTTACTTAAATTAGTTTTGCATGCGGGATGAAGCAGTGCGTTGAGACATCATCACATGTATGTAAATATAGACTACAGATATAAGCTAGCTCCGTCTGGTGGCCTTAGCTAAAAGTTGATTACATTTCCATCGTTAGTAATCTTCATAAATACATTGTAATACATACATACCTTGTAGTGGCGATAGTGACAATAATATATTATCGCTGTTCCTCTTTCGAGTTAATACTGAGTCTGCCTTAGCAAATACACCAATTCCCACTTATTATTAGAAATTGTTTTCCTCTTTTAATAGCTGATTTTGATAGACACGTTTTTGTCAAGTCACGTAAATTCTATTAACTATTGTTTCTTAATTTTCTCATCAACGCTTAAGCACTTAGCACTTAGTACAATATGTTACCTGGCTGCGCCTGCGTTCGTAAACAAATATCGCTAAAAAAAGCGCAGGTATGGATAACAACAAATAAATTATAACATCAAGTCCGTCGCCGCGCTATAACATTCATAAGCTCCCACCACAACCAATCGCCGAGAAACTCGCAAAGTGACTAAAAGCTCGATGTTGCCGGCACGTCTTCCATAACAATAGGAGCTAGCGCTTCGCTACGCAAAGCAAGCAATGTCAATGGGAGCTACTTGCTAATGTTGGCCACGGCGTTGAGTAATGCTCTCTGCTAGCTTTTTAATTTGTGGTGCGATGAGCGCTGGCGATAGCACAAAAGAAATGAATTCACGCGCTCACATCGCATGTGACACTCGAATGGGCTTTACAACAGAGGAATGTTGATGCACTTCACTTTACTTGGAACATTGTTCCTTATGAATTTTGTTTATTTTTGCTAAAATGTTTCGTCGGAACTCTTTTTTTGCCTCTAATTTAAACAAATTTGCAAAATGCCGGCACAAAGAAGAAATAAATGAGCAGCTGAGCTATCAGCTGATAAGAAAATAAGCTGTGCTGCCACGACGGTGAATTTCCGTCAAACGTGGTAATTTATGTGTGGTGGATTTTTATTGAGGAATTTAAGTGGAGAGTTAAGAAAATGAACTAATCAAGGCATGAACTAATAAGAAATAGATGTGCATAAAATAAAATAAAATTGTATTGTGGCGAATACTGCGGCAACACAAAGCACAATATAACCAGTAAACAACCTTCGGTGAATTTGGCGACTGCCTTCCTCGGGGATGAATATGCTAGGGATGAAATTATTGGTACACACGCCTTCCAAGCACGCAGGGTTGCTTTTAAGAAACAAAAAATAATTACTCCAAATGTTTCAAAAAGGTATAGTGTAAAACGAAATTTATTGAATAATTCCATATAAAATGGTATACATAATGACTCATTTTCTAAACGATTTAAATAAAACGCATTTCATAACCTTTTTTGTGCAAACGGCATTTGCGAATTGATAGAAAAGTACTACGGATTGTAAATTTTTGTTAACTATGAGGTGGATGAAAATTTTCAACCCGGCCTGACGGTTTTGAAGAATTTTTTTGTTCTACACCTTTTCCAACAGTATTTCAGAAAAACACAAATGTATTTCAGAAAAGGCCAAATGTATTTCAGAAAACCTCAAATGTATTTCAGAAAATCTCAAATGTATTTCAGAAAAACCCAAATGTATTTCAGAAAAGCTCAAATGTATTTCAGAAAAACGCAAATGTGTTTCAGAAAACCTCAAATGTATTTCAGAAAAACGCAAATGGATTTCAGAAAAATATTTTTAGAATACAGCTATGCTTTTCCGAAATACATTTGTGCTTTTCTGAAATACATTTGCCCTTTTCTGAAATACATTTGTGTTTTTCTGAAATACATTTGAGGTTTTCTGAAATACATTTGACCTTTTCTGAAATACATTTGCGTTTTTCTGAAATACATTTGAGGTTTTCTGAAATACATTTGGCCTTTTCTAAAATACAATTGCGTTTTTCTGAAATACATTTGTGTTTTTCTGAAATACATTTGGCCTTTTCTAAAATACAATTGCGTTTTTCTGAAATACATTTGTGTTTTTCTGAAATACATTTGCGCTTTTCTGAAATACATTTGAGGTTTTCTGAAATACGTTTGGCCTTTTCTGAAATACATTTGTGTTTTTCTGAAATACTGTTGGGAAAGGTGTAGAAGAATAAAAGTCAGTAAAGACAAGTCTTTGTTGTATAATTTCTGATTTTAATTGCTCAACTTCTTTTGCACCAGAGCAACTGTCAAAAATTTCCAGCAGTAAAAAATTACGAATTGGCACAGCAATGTAAAATTTTCTCGCCATAATAAAAAAGTTTTTTCAACATGGATCTTTTCTACTAATTGACATGAAATTACTATCTCAACGCTCGGAGCGCTGCCACTGAGGGCTTTTGCCAACTTATAAAAAAGAGAAAATTTGGAAATACCAAACAAAAATTTTCAGATTACTCCTTGTGAATACGAATGCCATAGTTTTTACCTGGCTCGTGGGACTACGCAAAATTTTGACAGCTTGTAAATATGTATACACATAAAGTTGTTGGCGGTAATAAAGAGTCAAAATCAAAATGGAGAAAAGAACAAAAATCGTACGTTAGCTGTCAGTTATAAAATAAATCCAATTTATTTGCGAATATTTCTTTATTCTATTTATTGAAAGGCAACTACGCGAAAAAGCTTGTGTTAATTATATTGATAACAGAACCTGGCAGCTCGCACGTTGTCTAAATTCTCAAGCAACATAAAATCCACAAAAGAATACATTGCTTGTCCATCAATACGCCATGTATAAATATTAACAACACACAAAAATAGAGCTTTCGCACGAGCGTTTGTTTGGTTTTTCAACACCATTTATAATTTTCTTTTAATAAAATCACGTATTCGCACGAGCGTTTGTATGGTTTTTCAACACCATTTATAATTTTCTTTTAATAAAATCACATATTGTCAAATGCTTAAATTTATTTATCTAATAATTATGCAGCACACAACCCTGAAATCTAAGAAAAAGTCTGAGGAAGGCCATTAAATAGCAGCACACAACCCCGTGCCTTCCTCAGGAGTGAATATAACTACAACAACAACGACTACTACAACAAAAACCCAAAAAGGTTGTTTACTGTCTATACTGTGACACAAAGCGAACAACGAGAAATAGGCAGAATGTTCGAAGAATGACGTAGAATGTTCCACAAAGAGAAACGTCAAGTTGGATGAACACTGCGAACAGCGAGAGAAAGAGAATGAGCGATAAACGCAGCGCAGGTATATAAGGGCGCCGCCACCGCGAGGTGAGTAGTTACAAGTCAGCAAGCTACAAGTAAACTGAGCAGAGAAGCGAATAAGCAAGCTATAAGTTTAATTGTGTTAACAAGTAGTAAAGCGTTGTAATTGCTTTAACAAGTATTGTAGTGTTTTTACTGTATTAGCTAGTATTGTAAAATTGTTTGTTGTACAATAAAGTTAATTGTACTACCATTTGGTCATCGTTAGCCTTTATTTAACAATCCAGCGGTACGAGCCCGAGTATATTTGGGAAATCCCTCAAGGTTTCAAGGATAATCGTAACAGTACAAAAAAGTAAAGCAAATAAAATAAAATAAAATGAAATAAAATTAAATAAAACCATGATGCAATAATACAAGGTGGTATCAGTTGTGACAGCTCGATTTGATACTGCCTTAGAATAAGAAGAAAAACGCGAAGAAATTATTCCCGATTTTGGCGAAAAATATAAAATTTCATATTTTCGTCTAAACAAAATTTGCTTTTTTATAGTATAATATAAGGCAAAATACCTTTTTAAGAAAACAAAATGTGCATACAGAAAAAGGTTAAATAAAATGAACGGGAGCCACGAAAAGAAAAATAGAATGAAAATAAAATAAAATTAAATTAAATAAAAATAAATCAATATAATATAATTTAAATGCAATAAAAATAAAAAAGTAAAGAAAAGTAAAATAAATTAAACAGAACCATACAGAATAGAGTAAAACCAAACTAAAAAAATAAATTGATAGACAAAATAAAATAAAATGAAGGAAAACAAGAAATAACGCATAAAATAAAATAAATTGGAATCAAAAAGTGAGACCAAATATCATAGAATAAAACAAAAGAACAAAATGAAATTCACTAAATTTAAACTAGATAAATATGTATGTAAAATCAGAGAAACTAATAAAGAGAATGAAAACCAATTTAAATTATATAAAAAAAAAAACTAAACTAAATTAAATTGGAATACGTTATTTTTTTATTTGGGCGGCGTGGTGTAAAAGTTTTATTTATCATTGTTGTAGTTGTCGCCACAGTAATAATTCCCACCTATGTAAGTCTGTTCATATGTCCATAAATCGTTGTCGTCGTTGTTAATTAATTTACATGGCTCAACAAAATTTGGTCGTATTTTATCTCAAAAACGGGGCTTACCTTATCTTATAGATCTTCTGATGCAGATTTGAAATGCATTTACAAACTTTTTCTAGAACGTCCAGTTTTTGAGAAAAAAAACCGTTGAAGTGTAAAATAAGGAAAAAAAAATCAATTAGAATTTGGACGTAGTTTTTCATAAGAAAAAAACCCACGTGTTAATGAAAATCCAATTCGTCTGATGTATTCTACCTCATGTCGATGATTTGATTTGAAATTAGTGAAAAATTAAAAAAAAACTCAGTTCTTAAAAAGCATGCACTTGTTTTCCCACAAATACGAAAATCTCAATCTTTAAATTTATTTTAAAAGCAAAGTGATTTCATAAACGAATCAGCATTGAAAAATCAATATCCCAGATTCATCATTAGCCAGTCTTTTGTCTCCTTACACTTTCCGCGGTCTGGAATGAAATCCTCTTAACACTGTTTTTGTGGATCGCAGTATCATCGCTTTTTAAGGTCCAGAAATAAGTAGTCAGCAAGCATGTGGCGGTTTGATTTCCTATTATACCGCTCCTCTATAGTGGCTACGTCTTTATTCTTCGCTGGTGCTTTTGAGATTGAAGAGTGATGAGTAGTAGAAATGAGTGGGCCACTACCTTGCCCACATTATAATGGAGTCTTAACTTACAACTTAATGCTACAAGGAAAGTCTACCCAAATAATACAGTATTCCATTACGATTCGCGCGACTATAGTCAAAAGAGATTGATCCAATCAATCCACGGCGATCCAGAGCCGGACGACAACAGTAAACATGATGACATGTTCGCCAAAGCCAAAGCAAATATCGACGCAGAGAGATTAAAGTGGCAACAGCGATACAACGAACGATATCAATAACCACAGCGGTATCAGTAAGTCGAGTCCGTGATAATCACCGCAGTTCCGGCAGCTACTGGAGAATCTCATAAGGGACCGTATGTCGTCACAAAGGCATTCGACTATGACCGTTATATTGTAGAGGATTTCCCAGACGCACCTGTAATGCAGCGAAGGTACTGCAGCATAATATCCAGGGTTCAAAGGAGGCGGTAGTGTCAACTCACTCCAGAACATGAGCACGAAAGTGACGGAAGTGTAGCAAATGATTCACCGAGGCCGGTCTATGGAAGTCAGGAGAAGCCGAACATTTCTGCTTTTGAATAGATCAGTTTTCTTTTAACTTTTTACCGATTCATACCGTATGCCTATTTAGGCTCAGTTAGTCTAGACTTAATTTACGTAACGTAACCTCATATATTGCCCAACGAAATACCTTTTTGTTCT